ATATATATATATATATAGTATAAAATAGAATAAATATATATAGTATAAAATAGAATAAATATATATATTACAAAAAGCTAATATGTAAAATAATGAACTTGATGGAATTATAAAAATAATATACTTGATAGAATTAAATAAATTATTGAAAAAAAATATGAAAAATATTTTAAAAAGAACAAATTAGAACATGAAGATTATTTCAAACTTCTAATTTAAATAAATAACGCATTTATTTAAATTAGAAGTTTGAAATAGTATATATATATATATATATATATATATATATATATATATATATATATATATATATATATATATATATATATATATATATATATATATATATATATATATATATATATATAATATATATCAAAATAGTTTTCAAAGCTTGCCAATCAAATGTAATTTTTTCACAAAAGCAGGTTATTTTACCTTGATTTTTACAAAATTTCCCTAAAAATCATTGATCGTTGATCAGCCGTTATTTAGAGCACTGCTATATATATATATATATGTATGTATGTATGTATATATATATATATATATATATATATATATATATATATATATATATATATATATATATATATATATATATATATATATATATATGTATATATATATATATATATATATATATATATATATATATATATATATATATATATATATATACATACACACACATACAAACATTCTAAAAACTAGATGTGTTTAGGTTAGGGTTATATGTGCTTAAAATCTAAAAGCTTTTCTAATTGCATTTTTTGCATTGAGTTTTTAAACACGTTTTAAATATTACATGGGTTATTAGAGAGAGATGTCATAATACATATAAATCTATGTAAAATTGTACACAAATTATTAGGGTGTTCTAAAAAACAGCATTTTAGAAAAATATATGCTGCCACAACCTCAATGTGTTCTATATGATAAAAAAACTTTTAAAAAATTTTTGAACTAAAAATATATTTAAGGGTCCCCAAAGACCTTTGAACATATAACAGGTTCCTTAAGTTATCAAAAAAAAATTCTTTAAAAGTGTATAATGTTGGGTCTCAAATAAGGTATAATCATATAAAATTTTCAAAAATAATAATTATATTATAAAAAACTCCATTGAAAAAAAATATTGTAAAAAAAAGGTATTAAGATGCACTTTTTTCATTTTTAGTTAAAAAGTTTTTTAATGCTTTTAAGTATAACATTTGTTTTTATATAAAATAGTAAAATAAAAAAGAAAAATAGAGAATTAGTTTTTTGGACATTTAGCACACATACATTTATATTTTTGTGTGTGCACTTACATACTTATATTTGCATGTGCACATATATGTGTGCCTGTGTGTGCACATATATGTGCATACATTTATATGTGCATGTGTGTGCGTGTGTGTATGTGTGTGCAGAACTCAATGCCTAATTTATACTCAATGATTACCATAAGCTAAAAAGTATATGTTAAACAGTTTACCCATGGTTAATCTTCTGGAAACCCAATACAAGTATAAACGCTATACAGTTCTTTTGCAAAATTGCAATAACCTCCTTTTTTTTTATATCTCTATTTCTTTTTAAATGATATGCAGCTTCTTCAATCATTCTATTGTAATATAGTTGAATGTTACCGTCTCTTAGAACTGACTTAACACGCTCGGAAAATGTTGGAATACTGGTATTAATGCCATATCTTCTTCGTCCTATGCATATTCTTTCTGTAGTATGGTTAGTTAGTAAAATATTGTCTGCCACATTTGATTAAGCACCAGATGGCCCAGTCTGGTGAAAAATTAAATTCAATTTCGGTGAACACAATATTTTTAAATTCATTTTTTTAAAATTCAACAGTAATCAACTTGCCTGTTTTTTAAAAAATGCACATAATTTCTCTTTCTCACCTAAAACTAATATTTATGCGCTGGTCCAAGCTTATTTGTCAACATTAGCATCAAATTGTTTTTTTTTCATATTCAGCAAAGCAAATCCATCAACTTCATTTTCTGGACACAACACACAGAACTAGCCTAATAAAAAACAGTTCACAAAAATAAAAACACGGTATCATTAGCATTTTCAGGACTGTATTGTTACACTGTGTGGTACAATTTGATGTTTGGAGTTGGGTGATACAAGTTGTTTGATGATTGGACATCAAATTACTTGTATCACTTAACATTATAATTTAATCTAAATTTTAGCTCAAGTACTGCATTGTCACAATGAATTTGGTCTAAAGTCATTTGATAACCTTTGTTTACTGTCTCCTTTATATAGGTAGATACCAGTGTTACTAGATAACATACACATCCATCATTGATAATGGAATGCTAGTGGTTTTGGTAAATTTTTTTAAAGTTAAATAATTGCTGCTGCTTAAATAGTGCATGTTTTCTTTCAAAACACATACACCAATGATTTCATAGTGGCCCAAACATAAGCAATTGATCTGATAAATGCACAAGATAATGCATCTTTGCAATAAAAGATTCTTCTGGATAAATCTGAACAAAGTTTTTGTTGAATATCTTAAGGAGTTTGTAGTATTTTCATTTGCCATTGGTGACAAACAAAGCAATGTAATTTTAAGATGATTATTGAAATTTATCTAGTCAACATCTTCTGAAATATAGTCACCTGTAATGAATGGCAATGCGATAATAAAAGTCAATGGGGATGCTGCAGATTGCCCACAAAGTCCACCTAATTTTACTGTAATTAACTGTGGCTTGTCAGCAGCTTCCCTTTGAGAATATGGAAACTGTCTTAATTGTCTATTTAAAGAATCTAATTTGAAATATTTTTTATCAAAAATAATTTTTTTTTAGCATGCATCTTAGCTCAAACCAAATAATACCTTCTAATGATATATGCATAGGATAAATGAAGAAGACATTTAGTCAGTTTGAAAAATGAAATAATAGCCAACATGCTATCATTGTTAACTCCATATTTTTTTGAACTGGTTGCATCTTTCTTCCAATTTCCTGATTGAGTTCAGGAATTTCTTCCAAATTCCTGGACTCAATCTAAATGTTCTTGTTCATCTCGCAATGAAAGTCTTGTATAACTAGTTCAACTGATTTCTATTTCACAAGTGCGGCATGGCTTTTGAACAAAATTGACACATTCCTTAAATCCCCCTATATTCTGTGCAGCATGAGTATCTGCTAAGGCAAATAACAATGAACCATAAATCAATTTTTCACTCTTTGAGGTTTTCATAACCACACCATTTTTCAGAAGATTCATAACACTGTTTAAATCTTCTAATAAAGATGTGACACCAAACTTGTGGATTTTACATGACTTAGTTAAACATAACAGCTGTATATTACTTCTATATGTTGGTGGAATATTTAGCAACATCCAATAAAAAACTGTTATTTTGTTTTTCTTTTTGTAACTTTCAATGGGATTGACAACTTCAAAATCATCAGTAAATGATGCAAACAATAAACTATCTGGGTGTAATTGCAAAAACTCATGGTCTCTGACATATGAGCCATGATTAACATCAGTCATAGTAACTCCTTGATATAACTTTCTGTTATTTTTATCAAATATACATTCCATTTTTAGCAATTTTAAAAGTATTTGTAACTGGTATATAAAAGGCACAAAATATCCAAGAGCTTCTTTTTCTGAGTCATAAACACCAATTTTTACAGATTCATGTCTAATATAGTTAAGTTCTTCAGCATAAAATGCTTCTTCCAAGGAAGTTGTGTGCAAGCCATCAAAAACTTTGCCATTGAAAAAAACTTTGTGGTTCGTAACTTAGTTCACATATTTCTGTTTCCAACTTTTGCTTTATATTTAAAATTTTATGATGCCACGGCTCATTAATTAGCATAACAATCTCATTGAGGGCTGATGATGTCAACTGTAATGACATTTTAATTTGCAACATGGCACCATCGAATTTTCTTTTGTTAAATAGTTATTCCTCACAAGCATTTTTCATAATTTTTGGAGAGCAAAAACTTTTAAAATTTTTGATAATTTTTTATTTTCAATATCTTTTAATAATTTTTTAATAACTTTTAATAATTTTTTCCATTTCAAGCACTGTAACATGGTTTCTTTTGCAGTGACTTTTAAACGAAAAAATATTTTGAACAAAGTACCATAACCAATAACATTACAATATAGTTAAAAATTTGTTGCATCTCTGTGACGGCTTATTACATGTGTAAGTAACTGCTGAGGTGTGTTGGCAAAATAAGACCACATTTTGCAATAGTGCATCATTATTGTTTAATGGTAAGTAAAATAGTTAAAAATAAAGTTAATTTAAATCATTCCATAAAAAATCTGAATAACAGCTTCAAAAAAACCATAGTATTGAAGCCACAATTTTACATCATTGGCTGTATCATTTTCCAATATTACATTCATTTTATCATGGTAATTTTTATCTATACCCAATATACAAAATTAATTTAACTAATATATAATTTAATAATTTAACTATACAAAATTCAAGACACATATCTCTATGTCTGATATATTGTAGAAATATCTTAAAAAGAATAGTTTTCCCACTGTAAAAAAAGACACGCGCAGGTGAAACTATGCATTATCTGTTACAAAAATTATTTATTTATAAACATGCTGAGTTTCTAAACACAAATTTACTTACAAAAATATTTTTTAACAAGTTTGTTTAAGTCTAAACACATTTAGATAATAAGCACAAAAATTAAGAAAAAAGCTAAAAGTTAAACACAATTACAACGTTTGCATTAATTTGGTGTTTGAAATCTAAATGTCATTTTTAGAGTTTACATATATATATATATATATATATATATATATATATATATATATATATATATATATATATATATATATATATATATATATATATATATATATATATATATATATATATATATATATATATATATATATATATATATATATATATATATATATATATATGCTTGAATTATTTAGATATATGATATATAAAAGATTCATTTTGATTATAGAAGAGGCAAAAACAAAAGATATAAAAAAAAAAGAGTCAAGGTATTATCTTATTACAGTAAGAATTTTTTCTTTGTTATTTCTGGGTAAGACAAATATTTACTATAAAGATGGTTGATCTTGAACAATTTGTCCAAACGATTTATTTTGTATACACATCAAGTTTGTGATGTTTTACATCAGTTTCTCTTTTTTGTTTTGTTGATTTTAAATTATTTTTTAATACAATTTTTATTCAAATCTTTGTTACAACAACTGTATTTATGGGAAAATTATTCTTAATTATATTAAGCATAAAATGATGGTAATGAATATTTTGGAGAATATACTTATCTTATATTTTATACATTACCAAAAAATCAAAAAAAATTGTTTTAATATTAGCTGAATAAAAAAGGAAAGAAAAAAGAAGTAACAGGGTAAATTTTAGATAGAAGTTATATAAAGTTATGACAATAAATGGATAAAACTGCTTCTTAAATCAATTTATTGTTATTTTTTTTCTTCTAATTTTTTGGTAAAGTTTAATATTTCAAATTATCAAAAGATATTAAGTTTTTATTTATTTAAAAAGAATGTCTTTTTTAGATTAATATGTTTTAAAACAAATTGTATGCTTAAATGCTAAATGTTTTTTCTTTTTTTTTTCTTTTTTAAATAAATTTTTGAAACACTTTTAAATAAATTATCATAGAATAATATATTTTAGAAGTTTTTATTTATTTAAAAATATTTAATTTTGTGATGAATTTAAATGCTTTAAAATGTTAAATTTAGTAAAATTTGTAAAAACGTTTCATAAAATAGTTAAACACAAATAATATTGTTTAAATAATTTAATGCTGAAAGCATTGTCATCATACTTGCTGCTCAAACTCCAATTAGACTTCAAACAAACTCTATCTGAGCATGATTTAGGAATCCAAATTATAAATGCCTTCAAAATAAAAAGCTAATCCATCGTTACCTGTCATTGTACTTCTTACTTCTAACTTAAGGCTGACTGGGGTTGTCTTTGATTAGTAATTTTTTTCATGATGATGTTTTTCATCTCACCGTCAAAAATCTGTTAATCAATTTCCTGAGTTCAGGCATGGAAGCTTTTATTTATATTTGTAATGTTCAAATGTAAAATTCCATCTTCATACATAGACATAATCTTATTAACTCTACCAATCATATAGAAGAACTATTTGCAAAGAAAATTTGAATCTCTTGAATCACACTTTTTCTGTCATACCAAAGAAACAGGTAGTCTACTGTCAAATCACTCCTGTTGCTAAACTTATTTGTTACTTAAACATTTCTACAACCACACAACTTTCCTATCATAGTCTTACAAAAGAATTCTCCAGAACTTCAATAGTCTCTTAACTATTTAATAAATTTTTTTTGTGTTTTACAAAATAATTTTAGTTAAGTTTGTATGTTACGTCATTTGTTTGGGTTTCTGATTTGCATGTGTAAAATCTCTTGAAACTCCTCTGACCCCTCTAACTATAATCCAATCATTAATCAATCTACTCTCTAATATTAACTCTAATCTAATCATTAATTAATCTTATCTCCATTATTAACTATAATCCAATCATTAATCAATCTACTCTCTAATATTATTTATAATCAAATCATTAATCGATTTTATCTCCATTATTAACTATAATCCAATCATTAATCATTAATCAATTTTCTCTCTTTTATTAACTATAATCTAATCATTAATCAATCTTTTCTCTATTAATAACTATAATCCAACATTAATCAATCTTATCATAACATTAATCAATCTTATCTTCATTAGTAACTATAATCCAATCATTAATCAATCTACTCTCTAATATTAATTATAATCAAATCATTAATCGATTTTATCCTCATTATTAACTATAATCCAATCATTAATCATTAATCAATTTTCTCTCTTTTATTAACTATAATCTAATCATTAATCAATCTTTTCTCTGTTAATAACTATAATCCAACATTAATCAATCTTATCATAACATTAATCAATCTTATCTTCATTAGTAACTATAATCCAATCATTAATCAATCTACTCTCTAATATTAATTATAATCAAATCATTAATCGATTTTATCTCCATTATTAACTATAATCCAATCATTAATCAATCTACTCTTTTATTAACTATAATCCAATCATTAACCAATCTTATGTCCATTATTAACTATAATCCAGTCATTAATCAATCTACTCTCTAATATTAATTATAATCAAATCATTAATCAATCTCATCTCCATTATTATCTATAATCCAATCTTTAATCAATCTACTCTATTATTAACTATAATCCAATCATTACCGATCTTATCTCCATTATTAACTATAATCCAATCATTAATCAATCTCCTCTCTATTATTAACTATAATCCAATCATCAGTCAATCTTCTCTCTATTATTAACAAGGTTTTTGAGTCTTTAATTAATAAATTTCTCATAGCATGGTCTCTTATTATTCCATATTTTAACGATCAGATTTTGATCCTCTTGTTCTACTGCTGACTAATTTTTATGTTAATTAATTGTGACTGTAAATCAAGGGCTATTATATTATTTTTTTATGTTAAGTAATGGTGACAAGTCAAGGGCTATTTACATTGTTTTTTTTATGTTAATTAATTTTAATAAGTCAAGGGCTATTTATATTATTTTTTTATGCTAATTGTGACAAGTCAAGGACTATTTATATAATTTTTTTACGTTAATTAATGGCGACAAGTCAAGAGCTATTTATATTATTTTTTTATGTTATTTAATGGTGATAAGTCAAAGGCTATTTATTTTATTTATTTATGTTTATTGATGGTGCTGTTTGATATATCAAGGTCTATTGCTACTTATGCTATTTTTTATGTTGATTACTGGTGTTGCTTGATGTGTCAAAGTCTATTGCTTTAAGTCAAGAACTATAGCTCTTAACTCATCAAAAGAATTTATCAACAGAAAAGTTTTTTACTGCTTATAATTATTGAAGTTTTGTTGATATTCCTAATATTTTTTTATTAATGCAATACAAGAGCATTGTATTAATAAAGGAATATTTAGTAATAAGTAGCAATTTAGTAAGAACTAAATCCTTTACTCTATGTCTTACACAGTTTCCTTCATATTGGACTTCACTTGAAAACTGTATAAAAAATTAATTGCAATTTTAGTTTCTGATATGGTTGCCTTTCTTTATTGTGCTTTTCATTCTCTTTATAAATCTCTTATTTGTTAATGTAGAAATGCTTTTGTCATTTTTTGGCTGGTTCTTTTAATAATGCTCTTTCTTATTTAGACAAGGCAAGTTCAAAAAAGGATTGTAAATGTAGATGTACCTGCTTTCACTACCAAGCAAGAAGGTAGCATCTTTCACTTTTTCTTTTTTTTAGTAATGTTAACTTTGCCAAGGCACAGGGCCCCTTCAGTCAAAGATGCTACTTTTTTTTTTAATTGTTAGAACTTTTTCTTAACTTTTGAACTCCAAAATACAAACTATTTAGCTCCAAAACAAGGCCATTAAGAATCAAGTTAAGCACTACCAGGAATAAAATTAGTATTAAACTTGGAACTTTTTGTGTATGAAACGAGATCTTTACCACTATATCACATTTTTCTATAAATGCAGTTCTGCACTTGATAATAATATACTATTAGTCTACTCAAAAAAACTATAAACTATAAATAAACTATATTCCATCAACCAAAACTTCTTTTACTGCAACTATTCTTTCAAAATTTTTTTTCTATTTCTAAAAAATATTTATCTTGTCTTTTTTAGACTTTCAATGAACGTTTAGATTTTTGTTTTTTCTTTTCCTTGAATTTTAGATTTCTCGTTTTCATGTTTTCCTTGCTTATACAGTTTACCGTTTTTTTAGTCTTCTGTCAAAAGCTTTCCTGGTCACTCTTCCTTTGCTTTTTAGTAATTCCTTTAATAGTGGTTGTTTGAAGGATTGTTATGAGTATTTTTTTTTTAATCAATTTTCTACCAATGTAGAACCCAGAATTCTATTGTGTTATTGAAAGAAAGTACTCCAGTGTTTAAAAGAGGATAAAAATAAAAAAGAACTTTAGGAATGTAAAAGTTTTTGTATTTTTTATTGTTGAGCCCAAAAGAAACCCAAAAGCCAACCCAAATCTGTTAAATTTTTTTTTAACATTTTTGTTTAAAGAAATTTTTTAATACATATTTTTTAATACTATTATTATTTTTTTTACATTTTTTATATTTAGGCTGTTCAATCAAAATTTTGTTCCTTTTCACTCCAGCCCAATTCATGTGGATGATAATAGGTAAAAATTAAATTTCTAATTTAAGTACCAAATAATATATTTCATGTTTCCTATTTCTAATATTTTAGAGATCTAAACTTTAAGGATATGATTCAACAAGAACATAAATATGATACAACTAATCAAGACCTCAAAAAGAAAATTGCATGTGAGTGAATATATTTTTAATGTTAAATAGTTTTTTTTATATGTAATACATAATTAAAGGATTTTTGATGTGTGATCTGCTTCAAGTGCAACCTCAACTTCAAAATCAAAAGTGTTTTAGGCTTAATAATGTGAGTTTAACTTTTAGTAATCTTTAATATCTTTATTCCAATATATTAATGTCACTTGATCTCTTAGCTTTCTAACAGCAAAATCACTAACTTTTTCTGCAAGTAAAAGATCCACATGTTCTTTGCATAAATTCTCCTCTGCCAATTCAAAGAACATTGTATAGTTTTTTAATGCTTTCCAATTCATTATCAGAAACATCTCTTGCTCAAGATCATAGCTGCTTTAACTACTTTAAAAACTTCATGAATTTTTGCAGCATAAAATCTTTGCAGCATAGTTCCATTGCATTTATGTTTAATAAGGCTATTCCATTGAATTTATATTTAATAAGACTATCCCATTGCATTTATATTTAATAAGGCTATTCCATTGCATTACAATCTAAAAATTTAGTGTTTCCCTCCGAAAAGTCTGAATATTTTAAAGTTGATGATTGTCATAATGCTTGACTGGAGACACTTTAAAGAATTTAACAATTTTATAAATCTCAGCAACAATGATATGACCATCAGAAACTAGACACCATTCCCTGTTTGATTCACCCCATTTCTCCTCTATTTCATTATCTTCAGTTGCACCATCAGTTTCATCATTGTTTCTCTTATTAGGTTTGTAAACTTGCATGTGCAAGACAGGCAATGCCAATTAAACTAGTCTCTTTTCCAAATTTTATCATAACATTCTTCTACTGTCAGTGGTTGTTGCTACCAGTGGGGTGCACTGAAACAAGTTATTGAAGACTAAAATTAAATGTGTTTTTTAATTAGAAAATGTTTTTACTAATTTGTTATTGCTCTGTTCTTGAAGAACATTGAACTCTATTTATAGAATACACTAACATAATATATATATATATATATATATATATATATATATATATATATATATATATATATATATATATATATATATATATATATATATATATATATATATATATATATATATATATATTATATATATATATATATATATATATGTATATATATATATATATATATATATATATATATATATATATATATATATATATATATATATATATATATGCATAATTTTTTATTTTAGATGTAAAATTAGTTAAACAATTGTAAGCAAAAATAAAGCAGGAATCATTACATTTTTTTATAGAAGCCTGCTATTATACTTTCCTTTAATCAAAGCATACATTGTATTTGATGCACTGCTTTATTAATATATTATATCAACCTTCACAATCGTGATGTTATAAAATTTGCTTGTATTATTCATAAATAGTAAAATATTATATTTAGTTGAAAAACATTTATTTATTTAGTTCAAATGAGCTAAATTGAAATTACAAAATTTTAGTATTTTTAACAATTTTTTTATCATATTTAAGATTAGGAAAATAAAAATAACAGAAACATAAAAATATGAAAAACAATATTGGAAGCATATTAACACTAGAAGGATCGTTTGAGTTGTTTTATACTAACAGCTCAATAAACAATTCATACAACAGTTGTATATCATATTAAAACATTGACAAAATTTAAATAGTCTTAAAAAAATATTTTTATATGTATAAATAAAAACCCTGATTGTTGTCTTCCATACAGTTATATTACCTTTTAGTATACTGCAGAGGGTAGATAAGAATTGAAGCGTACATATATTAAAAAAAACTTGTTTATATAACAAATACTATTAGCAAACCTACTAGTAATAGGTTTACTTTGTTAAACATTGTTTGTAAACAGTAAATACAGTATAACAATGTAACATTTTGAAAACATTTGAAATATATAAATAATAAATATATAAAAGTAGCACTTTATGGCATTTAATGCTTATATTTTTTTCATATTTTGAACAATGAAAATAACATTGAATGTTATTCATGAATGTTATTCATGAATGTTATTCATTGAATGTTATTCATTGAATTTTTTGAAATATAACAAAAATACAAAAATTAAAAATGCCATAAAAAGCAATTTTTATACATATATATTTCATCATTTTTATACATATATATTTCAATATATATGTATAAAAATAAACCATTTGATTTTTAAGTAAACAAATTTTGCTACTATTAAAGCATTATTGTTTAAAGTTAAACCATCTTTACAAAAGCATTATTCTTTATGAATCTGTCAAAACATCTTAAAATAAATGTTATTGTTTATAAATCTGGCTGTACTAGACATCCAAGTATCCGCATTTGCTAAATTACAAGAAAATGAGCAAGTCATACACCACTGGTTGTTACAATGTTGTTTAAACCCAGGTTGAATTTAGACAATCTTGATTAAATAAGTTAAATGGTTTTTTCACTTTTCATGCTTTCATTGACATGTATAATTACCAGTGATTAGAAACCTTGTAAGTTCAGATTCAAGGTACATTGGTTTTTGACTAAACTTTATTTTGCAAAACTATTAGAAAAACAACTTTCTTCTTTTTAGGTTTTTAAATTCTTTGTATAATAATGAGAGTAAATTTTTCATAAACCAATTCCTTATAATTTGTAGACATTTTAGCAAATTTTAACTATCTTGAAATTTTGATTATTTTTTATATTATGATATTCTTGTAAGCAGAAAACTTTTTGCAATTTGGTTAAAACATAACTCATCAACTGCAACCATTTCACTTATCCCCTCACCATCAGCTTTCTTAAAAAAAGTCTTTCTTAAAGAAAAAAATAATATGAGAAACATTTGTGTTCATTTGTTTTTTTGTGACTTTCTTAAAAAAATAGTTTAGCTTAAATCTTGTAAGTTGGATAAAGTTGTTAGGTTAGGCTTTTCGTTTCAAATGTTTTCCAAACTGCTCAACTAATTTTGCACTTTGCGTTATCTTCTATTTTTGTATACAAAATATATTCCCAAATACGTGGTTTCTTTAAGAACTATCTCTATTTTTCTGTTAAATATAATGATGATTTAATAATACATGGCTTAATAATACATGATTTAATAATACATAATAATACATGATTTAATAATACAGTAGTTATTTAGTAATAATGTATATGTTAATGTATATGTATATGTTAAAAAAAAGTTCTATGTTGAACAATGTTAATAATAAATAAGTTATAGTATGATGAAATTTGATCCATAATAATTCATTTACTCATCAACATTTCATTATATATTTACATCATCAATAGCTACAAGTTGTCGATCATGTAAATGATATAAATTTTTTTAAGTCTAATACACACATAAGTTTATAAGTATATGATTGGTTGATTGTTTAATATAATAAGTGTACAAATATGTGATTGGTTGATTGTTTACCATCAATTAGTATATAAACATGTGATTAGTGGATTGTTTACCATTAATTAGTATATAAATATGTGATTGGGTAACTGTTTAGCATCAATTAGTATATAAATATGTGATTGGTTAATTGTTTAGCATTAATTAGCATATAAGAATAATGTATAAGTAAGTTTGTAAATTAAAATTAATAGTAATTAACATCAACATTTCATTTACTTCATCAACACCTTGTTGGAAAGCCAACAGATGCTATAAATGTGAATTTATATTATGAACATTTTTCATGTAATTCAAAGTTGATCACAATAAAAGTTTCTTGAAATTAAACCTTTACAAAATTTAAAATTACCTGAAATAA